CATCTCCGTAAACCTCTCCCATGTTACCGCTGAAATCTCCGCCTGAGTGAAGTTCGCCGTCACGAACTTCCACCAATCCTTCGCTCCCAGACGGAGCTGGTTCAAGGCGAACCGTACCCTCAAGTGCTCCGGGCATGAGCAAGTATAGAAGCACCCCTCAATGTCGGCGATCCACCTCATAGCCGCAATCGGATCCTGCGTCCCATCGAACTCAGGGGGTTTCGTGTTGCTGAATTCCCTGAATAACAACGAATCACCCCCTTGCGGCCTAGCAGCAGCCACAGCTGCGGTAGCGGCAGCGACTGCAGCTTCAGTAAGTGCGGCGTACCGCTCCTCAAACTCCTCCATCAGGGTGGTCTTAATAGACCCAAACATCTCCGGGATCTCAGCCCGAACCGCCGCAGCTACCTCTTCCTGAATAATCTGACGAATCTCCTCGTCACTCGCACCGCTCGAACTCGCCCCATTGCGTGTGATGACCATGATGTCTCTGAAATACAACATAAAATCATCAGAGACTCCACCAAGTACAATTGTACTCGATACGCGCCCTACTCAGTCTCCGATTTCCAGGGATTCTTACTTGGGTCTTCCACTGATCCGGTGCCTTCGGTAGTACGGGCCCAATACTACCGACCACACCGTATCAGTATTCGTCCCAAATCTTCCTCCCCAAATCCCGAATAATGAGTACTCTACCTCTAGTATGCACTATCTACTTGCACGCTACCAAATATCTCATATAAGCAATCTCCCTAGACTAAGGCATCACAAAACAGGCAATTCTAGTCCTATCATGTATACCTAGTCTTCTAGCATGCATAACAATTCATAATTCAGTGCATAACATAACATTGTAAGGTATTCTGGGGATCTTTACCGTTCGGGCGCTGGCTGATCGTACACACTGCTCCATTCTTGTTTTACCGCCTTACCATTTATGAAATGTTGTGTCCTTATTATTTTAAAAAGGTTTTTCCTCAAATCCCCGGTCTGAGTTCAGTTGCACCCGAAAGTACACCCGAATCCCTCAAACCAAGGCTCTGATACCAATTGTAACAGCTCAAATTTTCAAAAAATTTTTCATTTAAAATAAAACATCATTATTCGACAAAAGAGTTTATTCCAAGTTTATTGCAAAAATATAAATAACGAATCCTCAAGATCTTCAACAATGGCAGTGTGTACGTGTCACGCCGGCGCCTTCCCACGGTCATCACTAGTACCTGAAAAACATAAACACAACTAGTAAGCATAAATGCTTAGTGAGTTCCCCAGTATACGACTTACCCACATACGCCTTCCGGCCCGGACCTTTCGGTCCACATAACATTGCCTTCCGGCCCGTAACATAATCGCCTTCCGGCCCATAACATATCGCCTTCCGGCCCGTAACATATGCCTTCCGGCCCATAGTATTTTGCCTTCCGGCCCATAATAGTATAAACATAACACATATAACATATCACACATAACACATAAGTCATACATCATACCGTTCTTTCTATCACATAAAGTCTCGCCTTCCGGCCCGTATAAGCATACATCACATATAAAGCATCTACCTCTCTAGACATAGCATAAATATAACACATACGACCTTCCGGTCACGCAGTCAAACCCTTCCGGGTGAAGTATAGTGAGAAGACTCACCTCGTAGTATGCAAGCTATAAACCCTTCGAGCCACTCGCACTCGATCCGCTAATCTGCAGGCTCCCTATAATACCACATACCTTTATTAATGATCTTATCAAACAAGACAACTGACCCTACTAAATTACATACAGGTCAACGGTCAACTTGACCGGACTCGTCGAGTGCAAAGGCAACTCGGCGAGTCTAGACACCCCGACTCCACTCGCCGAGTCTAAAGAACGACTCGACGAGTTCCAGTAGATCTTCAAGCTACTCGCCGAGTCTGAAGAACAACTCGGCGAGTCCTAGTGAATCTTCAAGCTACTCGCCGAGTCTGATCATTGGACTCGGCGAGTCCTCGCCATGCAGTCAATCAACTGCCTCCTGTAATTCGCATGATTCCGTAATATATAGATATGGGCTTCCTGGACCTTCACATATACTATTACAGGGGTTTAAACACTTGTAACAACACTATAATCTATCAAATCCTTAAATGGGTTTCCTAAACCCTAGATTCGTATACAACGCCAAAACTACAGAAATGATCCGAGGATTACCTGGAAAACGTGTTCCCTGTGTCCCCAACCTTCAGAGCTCGACCCCTTGAACCTCCTTTGATCACCACCTTGCCTCTCCTTGCCTAACAACCTCTTCAAGCTTCCACTAGCCTTCACCCTTGTTCCAGATGCCCACAGACTTTTTGGTTATCTTCAATCGGCCAAAAGACGAGACATGACGGCCCTAAAGGCATTATATACGATCCAGAATCAAAACGGCTAGGGTTTCAGCTGAACAGCGTCGACTCACCGAGTCCCTAATGAACTCGTCGAGTCCAGTCGCGAATCTGTGTCCAAGACCGTGGTCCTACTCGGCGAGTCAGGCACCAACTCGCCGAGTCCCCTCCTAAATATGCCCCAAAAATAATTTAAAGAAATACCTGAAATTCCGGGCTGTTACACAGGGACTCCAAGGCTCAGATCTAGACCCAAATTCTATCAAGATGGATAAAGCATCCAACTGTATCCTTTGAAACTACTCCAAGGGTCCCAAAACTCAACCACAAGGCTTGAAGGTTCAAAGGCTTACCAAGAAGCACAATCCTTGAAGTTGGAAACCCATCCTTTCCAGAAGAGATTCTAGCACCAAAACCATCCCAAAGGTCGGTGCTTTATAGACATGCATGTCCAATGCATGTCTTGAACCCAAAATAGGCCAAAAATAGGGATTTATGACCTACTCTCCATGCATGGCATCAAAACTTGACTATAAGCCAGATCCAAAACTCTACAAGGTCACTTAGACCTAGAGATTCATAAAGTTGCTTACTTTATGAGATCCAACCATTCCCTCACTCAAGAACAACAAGAAAAAGGGCCAAAACTCAAGATCTAGCAACATAAAGGAATAAAAATAGGATATTGGACACTTACAAAGGTCTAGAGGAGTGTCAAACTAAAGGATGAGGACTTGCTTGTTGGATCCTTACTTCCTTCTTCCAACTCCTTCCTTCTTTAGCTCCAATAACACCACACTAGCTCACAAATAAGTGGAAAAGATGATTACAGTTCTCAACGGTTGATATGGGAGTTAGAGGCTGATAAAAGACCACCCCTTGGGACTTAAGGAGATTATATAGGGTGTAAACCCCCAAAAATTAGGGTTTTCTCAACGAACCGCCAACACACCGTGTTGCACCATAAACACTTTGTGCTGACCTTAAAGAAAGCCACATTTCTTCAATTTAGACATGTCGTGTTTGTTCCTCCAAAACGCCATGTCTAACCATAGAAAGGGGATTTATTTCCACAACTATTCCTCAAGATTCTGGGTGTTACAACTCTCCCCCACTTAAATTAGATTTCATCCTCGAAATCATTCCTTACAATCTCCCCTAACAAAATGACGATCCTAACTGAACTCCCTAAACCCTAAAATGACTAGGGAAGTCACCCCGCTCAGATGAATGCCCACCCTTACTGATGTCAAATCCAAAATAGAAGATACCCAACCACTATACCTGGAACTGAAAACCCTGAACAATGTTGAACTCCATGACAGATAGCATCAAACAAAATTGTCCCCTCAAGGACTCAACTTCACAACGCGAAACGAACAACCTATCCGGCTTGAACGAATTTACAAATACTCAAGAACATAAATCCCTGACCACCTACCAAATCCCTGAAAAAAGAAACCCTCATTACTCAACTCAAAACTAGGAATTCAATACCTTATCTAAAAACATCCCAATCACAATGGATCTTTTAATGAAGCTCAACAATAACTAGATTGCAGAATAATAAGGAAGAGATATAGAAACAAGTTTACATAAAACAAAAGCAAGTAAATATGGAATCGTAACAAGGCTTGTATTTAATACTAGGTTAGAACATGTTGAACAACTACGTATGAAAGATAATCTTGATAAAGAGACTTCTATATTAACATAATGATTACATAGAAAAGATATTGGAAGTGAAAAACCCTACATAGATTGATCAACAAGATCATCTATTTATAGGACAAAACGTTATACATTCAATTATAAAATAAGAGTAGCTTGGGTGGCCCTATTGCCCATAAATGATGTATGTAGTCCACCAAGAAATGTAAGGATAAAGCTGATCATTGTTTTATCACCGAAAATACATAAAAACATCTTCATACTTTTCCTCTCTAGTATTGCTCACCAACTAACAAGTCTATTCGGTACGCCTTCTCTACTCTCCAGTTCCTTGATTTCACACTTTAGCTGCCGAGGGTCACTTTATGTCTTAAAAACACCCCACTAGTAATTCATTGTCTATATACCGATTTCCATAAGGAAGAAGAAACTTTTTATTCTTGGACTGTCTTAGAGCACCTGTTTCTTGAGGATGACAATCTAGACGGACTAGCTGCTCGTACAAGGTTTAGCTTCTTAACTTTATTGAGAAGGTGCTGAATTGCCAGCTTAACTTCCTGAGCATGATTACCCTTGTGTTTGTTTGATAATTTCTTGAATTTACATCAACTCATTATAGCTAAATTTGACTAACTCATGAGCATAAACAACTTTATTGTATTCATATTATGTTTTCTTTCTAACCAAGTGAAGCTTTAAGGACTCGTTTCTTGGTTTGTTGCATCTCACTTTGATAATGGGATTAGGCTTTAACCCGTGAGTAAGAACATCTCTAGACTTCTTCCTATCAATTTGGTCATTCAGATCTACAACAATGTGTTGTTTCTTCACACTATTATTGAAAATTTTCTTCACCTGATTATCAGTACTTTTAACATTAGAACTTTCGTCAACGGAAGCAAGAGCTTGAAAAAGTTTGGAAGACAAACGTTCTTCTTTTCTTGCTTGTTTCCTTTGTCAGCTAGCAACGTTATATTCAAACATGATTTCTCTAACTTCCTCAATGGGTAACCTCCATGATTCTGACAATTCATTTAGATCAAAGATGAGTTTGCTTTTCATTTTAGGAGGAGATGTTGAAGGATCAAAGGTAGTAGAGCTTCCAACTTCAATTTCATGAGTTCCCCCTGAAATGGAAGCCTTCCTCTTTCGAGGACTGAGCTGATAATTGTCAGAGTCAAAGTAACTATCAGTTCCTTGAGGAACCTCTTGAGAAACCTCTCCCTTAAAGTAAGATCTAGGGTAGACAACATTTAAAGGAACATTTGGAACAACAACCTGTGTCAAGAAACCCTTTAAAGTCATCGGTATTTGATTGGTCACCAATGTCTAGAATGGATTGATCAGTTGTTGCATCAGTATCTAGAATATCAACAACATCAATATCCTTTTGAGAATCAGCTTCAACCCTTACAACCATCTCAGGATGAGATAGAGTTTGTAAAATCATCACCTGCATTTGCATTGGCTGAGGATCCCCCTTGATTACTCTCCCCCTTTTTGGTGTCAGGAGGAAGTGGTGGAGTTCTTAGAGGAGGATGAGATGGTGGAGGAAGATTTGTTGATGGAGGTGGAGGTGGAGGAGGAGGAGGATTATCACCTGGAGAGTTTGGTGGAGTGTCATCAACAACCACATCATCATCATCATCACCCAAAAGCCATAAGTCGCTTCATTGTGGCCACATCTCTTTCAACTTTATTCAATATTTTATCCAGTCATTAAGTAATCTGCATAATTAGAGAAAGTTAGGAAATTACATTACTTTGAATGTTAGTGTTGGATTTTTCCCGATTAACCTGATGAAATGCAACATTCATCATAGGATTTAGAGTAAAAGGAACAGTCTCAAATTGAGGAGAAAGAGGCATTGAATTATCTTGGATCATTGGTTTAGCAGTTACCATAATAAGAGGGGTTAACCCATGTTGTGCAACATCATCGGTAGAGGAAGAAGATGAGGAGGTAGTTGAAAAATGAAAGTGCTTTTTCATCCTTGGAGGAGAATTCATTCCCTAAGCAAAGTATTCTTACATATCAATGACTAATTCTTATTCATCTTTTTCAGTATCTACTTCCTCATCAGCCCCTTCTTTATTACAAACTTCTAGATCATCACTCTCATTATTCTCTTCTTCATTACCAACATCATCACTATTATCATCATCCTCTTTAAGAGTTTGAGGATTTAACCACATATGGCTTTT